AAAATACTCACAATCATGAATTGTTATGAAGAATTTATCAATTCTCATGGTGAATATTATGAATATCGGAATAGAACAATTCACATGTAATATAAACTTTTTATCAAATTCTTAATAAACGTATTATGTCATAGTCTTCTCACACTAGGTTGATAGCCCAGGGATAATCCTATTTTTTTAATATACTTCTAGTCACGCCCTCCTAAATACCCAAATTCAGTTGTATTCTGCAATGCTTGTAACATTAATAGAAAAATCTATAAAATGCAGCATCCCAATAGTTAGTTGCACACTCCTAATTAGTTTGCAATACTAAAGAAGTACTGACTATGATCTATTTTGTCCTATATTGCTGCACCTACCCTAAAAAAGTGCTGCACCATAATAGCCCTCTTACCAAGTCAGTCAAAGCATGGGTCTACTCACTTTTTATAAGGAAATAAAAACACCAACCTTAGAAACAAAAAATATTTAAAACTTAAAGGGCTTTCTCATAAGGTTAAAATACAGTTTGGGTAATACATTAAAGGTTCAGCTGAAGATATAGGTACTTTTGTTATGTACAGATTTTATTTTATCCTTGTGTACGTTTTGTTCATAATGAGTTGAGCTCTTGTCAATAAGTTGATTTCCTTCTTTTGAGTGATAACCTTGCCACACTGAGCATTGAGGCTCCGATCTACTATTTTAGTTAACTCACTTTCTCAACCACTAGGAGTGTTGTGACTTCTTCACACAAGGTGAGTTGACAAACTTCCTTTATGTGATAACTTGGTCATTAACTCTTAAAGCTTCTTCTCTCTTCTAGATTTTCAATTAAAAGGATTTATTTTTCCTTAAGTTGACTTTCCTGATGGTCATATGATTTTTGACATCTATTCTCTTCATTTGAGGCCTAGAAAATTTATTTAAATGACAACCAAAACTTGAGCTAAATATTTCGATCTTGATTTTGATATTAGTGTATTTCAAAATATTACATGATAATTACATGGTTACATTGGTGTGATCAATTTGTTAACATTAAAATCATTAAAGCAAGAAAAGTTTACCCACCCACTGAAAAATATCCACATTTAACAAGTCCAATTATTGGTTTTTGACCAATCATTATACATATATGTCAACTTAAGACTCTATGAGTATTTTGATTTTCTAACATGTCAAGACATTACAGATGATAAGAGATTCTTTGATGCTTGTTAGCATGATCTAAGATGTACGATGTGCTTGTCATAGTAAATTAGGTTGTAGTTCTACTGCACACAAACCTGATCAGCCCTTATATTATTCACCATTAAATTATAACTCATTTTCACTAAGATTATAGTTAATAGAATTATAAGTCATAATTTTATGCGAATTACTATCAAGTTTAACTGCCCCACCCTCTAGATTGCATTAGCCTTATGAGGTCATTCATTAACATTTGTAGCTTGATACACTTTGTGATTTTGCGACATATTTTCTCATGGACTATCTATATTGTCATGTAAGGTACTTCCTTGTGGTTGAATGTGTGACTTTATTCATTTTTTGATCTGCAATGTAACTTCTCATGTAGTAATACATGAAACCTGATATATTTTAATATTTAATTAACAAAATTCTTACATAGTGATAAATGATGTTAGTTATACTCAACTCATCTACAGCACAAATTCTCATGTATTAATATATCGAGCTTGATATATCATCCATTACCCCACAATATATTTTCTCACTGTTTTCATATGAAACTTGTACTTCTACATCATGGGATTTCTGTGTACTTAGATATGATGATTTATGTATTGAACTATTTTTTAATGTAATTCCTAATATATTTAAATATAAAGTGATATATTACACTATTTTTAATGTAAATTCTGATACATTGAAAGATGAAGCTTGATGTATAACAGTATTAACGTATAAGCCTTTTCTCCCTTTCTATCTTTACTTGAATGTACCTTTAACTCACCATAGATATTTACTTAAAAGAAAAGCTGTCAAAAATATTTTTCATTGATCTCAAATTTACATGAGACATTTTTAGAGGTTTAGGGAAACTTTTCATTAAATATGACATCAATAACACTTGTTTGAAATGATGCCCTTGCCATTATAGCCTTTTGTTAGCTTTATGCCCACTAGAAAACTCAAGGTATTCTCAAACTAAAGTGTTGATGCAGTTCACAATTTTGCAATAAGTGCATTTTATTTAACATCATAAAAATATTAAATTTAAAAAAAAAACCACCCTCCCTAAAGGATGTGAACTTAAAGATGTAGTTGATGGAGACTATCTCTTGTTGAGGTAGAGAATATTCTTTGGTTGCTACAGAACTATTGGAAATTCAATTGAGCATCTTTCTTGAAAGTGCAAGTAGACAGTAGACCATTATATCTACTTGGCTCTCAACACTCATGTAGATTGTGTGGATGGGTAGGTGGTTGTTCTCTCTCTCTCTCTCTCTCTTTCTTTCTCTTTTCTAGAATTTGGGAAGATGTTCTATATTTAGAAATTTTGTCTCTCCTAAAGTATCAATAGCTTGTAAACTAATGGTTATTATTCTAATCACAACTATAAAATGGAAATTAAAAGTATGTGTTAATATCTTGAAATCCATATCTGTTTGAAATTTTTGGATTTCATGGCACTACTTTTTGCATTGTCTTCATCCTCAAAAGTTCCAATGACTATGGGTGCTTGAATATGTGACAAAATTTAATGTCAATAAACATGTGACTTATTGGATGTCAATCTACATACTAAATCTGTGGATAAAGAGACCTTCATTTGAATCCATAAATTCATCATTAACCAAATTTAGTAACATATAAGATAGTCGTGAAGTCATCTTGACATTTATTGAAAATAAATCTCACATATAAATTGACATTATTGTTGAATTAAACACACACAATGCTTAGCCAATTTAAAGCTTCCCTATTAAAACATCTAACCATGTGTGGAAATTTAAACACTAGAAGCTCTAGTGATTAAAGCATGAATTTACATTTGATAAATACTTCAAAAATAATTTTATGTCTCATTTTGACGTACTACACTTTTAATCTTATCATCATCAAAACCAATAGTTCCGAACCCTCTCTCTCATCAATAGATTCTTCAAATTAAGGTTGGCCTCTCTTTGAGATATATATATATATATATCGAGAGAGAAAGCAAGAGAGAACTATCTATGGAAAAGTATTTCAGAGATAAATGTACAGAAAGATACAAAGATATATGTATAACATATAATTAGTAACCATTTTACTGATATCTTCATACACTCATATAGTGTTGATTTTAATGAATGATTTTTGGTTTTAATGGAGCAGTCTTTCCAAACAGAATCACTATTATTCGTCAAGTACAGAAGAGGGAAGAAGATGAACAACTATGCGATCTACAGTTACAAGAAAAATAATAACCGTGCTCTTTATTCATCAAGGAAAATGATAAGCCCTATGACATCCATTGCACAGAAAAATAAGTACATTAACACCTAAGAAATTAATACAAAGCTCATATACTATGCATATTGGTTTCAATAATGGACATCACTCAATTAGTGACCTGACTAAAGTGCCCTATTGATATTATTAAAAGCCAAAGTGCCTCTTCTATGCTCTTGATCATACTAGCAAAGGTTTTTCTTTGTCCACGGACAGGTGTATGGTTGACCAATTAGTGCGCAGCGTGATGATGAGGAGGGTGCAAGCTTGGCAAAACAAGCCACAGATCAAGCCCATCCAGAGTCCCTGCATGAGACGTGCCCAGAGTAGATGTCAATTCCTTCAATAATCTGGTTGTAATTGGCTAACATTATTGAATGAAACACTGCATGTGTATCTCTAAACCAAGGGAAAATAAAAAGATATTGAAATGTAAACTATTAGTAATCCTTGGAACGTGTAGTACTCTAATGGCACCTTGAGAATCACTATACTAGATAGGTTGTTCATGTATGAAGACTATGCCCAAGGCCTTATAAAAATAGCTATAAATCATAGATTTCAGCCATAAAAAATGAATTGTCAACCATATGTTGTTAAAACTAGTTTTAAGATCTCAAAATACACCTAAGAATACCAACCTTGTAATAGAACTTTAGGACAAACCCAAGAACAAGTGCAATCGGCATCCCAATCACGTAGAATGCTGCTAGGTTGGTCCATGCTGCTAGATGTTGCCAACCACATCCTCTTGCTACCCCTGAATCAATTATTCACATGATTAGCAAGATATTAAAAATCAGTACTATCTATGGATTTTATTTCCTATGGTAGTCACCTGATAGAATCCCCTGTGCCGAGTCTAGTAGTATGGAAATTGATAGTAGCGGGGTCATGTAGGCAAACTCCCTAATAATATCTGGGCTACTACTGAACAAGTTAGCCCATATATTGTGACCAAAGACCAAAAAAACGACAATTGTCAGTGCAAGAATTACTGAGAGCTTCAATGTCACCCTAACTGCATTCTTTGCCTTGTCCACATTTCCTGCCCCCAATTCATTTGCCACACGTGTGCTACAAAAGGGGAAAAAAATAAATTAGAATCATAATTATGAATATAATTTATATTCATAATTATGAACAAGTGACTATGCGTACCTCACAGCAGCACTAAACCCATAGGTAACATTGAATGACACAGCCTCTGTGTTAACACTGAAATCCACCAAAATATCAAGTTAATATTTATACAATATTGACTAATAATTTTTATGATCTAATTTGATAGCTGAAGATGGGCATACCAAATTGCAATTAGTGAGGTGCTCAATTCTGAGTGGGGCATCAGACCAGCCAATAACACAAGAAGTTCAAAAGCCCAGTATTCCAAGCTGCAAGAGTAATATCACTCGTCAAACAAAATTATATTCCTCTATTAATAAAGATAATTTCTTCGGGAAACACCAATAAAAACTTGTGGTTCATTGAATTTCACACATCAAAAACTTACTAATAAATATATGTTTCATTCGTTTTTTAAAAGAAATAAGGAAAAAAAGGAAAAACCTCAAAGATATTGGTGGGTCTAAACCGGTTACAACTGTTGATGCGGCTGACAATTTAGGCTAAAATTGTTCTATTTGGCATCCTATAAAAGGTGAAATAATGGCTAAATAAGTTTTTATATTTTCAGACCAGAGTTGTGCAATGAATACGTACAAAGTGAAATATTGAAGAACCGTAGAAGCTATAAATTGGAAAATCCTGAGACAATTCACCGGCTAGAGCGGAAAGGAGATTGTATCTTCTTCGGCTAAATCACTGCTTTGTCGAACGTTTAAAACAAATTCCGGAAGGCAACATGTGTGTGTGTGTGCGCGAGCGGAGTGGGAAGGAGCATACCAGACCATAACAGCTGACGGGATGGCCAACCGCATACTGGGAAGGACGTGCTCAAAGGCCTCGGTCGAGAAGCCCTGCCAGGTCTCTGAGAATCTCTTCGAGTACTTCACATACGAGCCCAGCATCAGGAACGAAATCCACAGCGACACCGCCGCCGCCACGGGGGCGCCGACGAACCCCATCCCTGCCGGGTGAACCAGCACGTAGGTGATCAGTACGTGCAGTGCCAGCGGCCCCACAGAGCACACGACGAGCGGCGCCACCGCGGACTGCGTCTGCAGGAACCTCAGCAGGCACTGGAGCAGCCCGTAAGCGAAGAGCGCCGGGATGAGCGGCCGCATGTACACGGCGGCGGCGTGCGCCACCGCCGGCTCCTGGCGGAGAGCGATGAGGATGGACTCCGAGAACCACCAGACGACGGCGAGGACGCAGGAGACGGCGATGGCAGTGATCATCGACGCCTGCAGGTAGATGCCCATAGTCCGGTACAGCTTGGCGCCGTAGGCCTGCCCGCAGAGCGTCTCCAGTGCCCCGCTCAGCCCGATCTGGATGGCAGCTTTCGTAAGTAAGTCGCCATTTTTTAAGAACGACCAGGTATAAGAAGAAGGAGAAAAATGGCAACTTCGTTGAGCGTCCCCTGCCCCCATCCCTACTGCTCAGCCCAATCAGGATGGCAATTTGCGTAAATACGTGGACATTTTGTTTGAAGGAGGAAAGAGTTTTTGCGAACGTGTTTAATTTCATTGATGAAGAACCGGCCCGGCCAGGAATAGTGGGCCCGTTTCTAATCCCACGTGTTCAGCCCGAGGGCCGTTCTGCTGGGAGTGGCGGATTTTGGCCGATAGGGAGACGTCCCGGGCTTCCGTAAGATTTTCTGGCCGGGCCGGGCTAGCCCGACCTAAATAATTTGTTTGATGAAAGAGACGAAGGATCCCAGCTTGTCTCGGAGTGGACCCCAGTTCAACTGCTTTATTCTAGAGAGAGCGACGAAGGCCGGATCTAGAGAGAGATGCCCTAGAAACCAGACAGTAGAAATTGGGGAGAGAGAGATCATAGACAGAGAGATGGCGAGATAAAGCGGACGGACTGATGGGTGGGTGCAAGAGAGAGAGATCATAGGGTTAGAGAGATGACAAGATGAATCGCACGGATGAGAGGGAGTGATTATAGAGAGAAGGAGGAAGTGATGAGGGATGGATCTTGGTGGGATGAAGTAAAAATAGTCGCAAATTAGAGAGAGAGACATGACGAGGCAACAGACACGGATTAGGAGAGGGGGAGAGAGAGATTGACAGGCATCGTTGGGTTAGAGAGATGGCGAGATGAAGTGCAGGGATGAGAGGGAGGGAGTGATTCTAGAGAGAAAGGGGGGAGAAATGAGGAACGAATCTTAGAGGTATGAAGGAACAACAGTCGCAAATGAGAGAGACAGAGAGAGAAATTGGACCGCTAGAGATTTGACGAGATAACACGCACAGATTAGGAGGGGGCGAGAGTGAGAGAGATCATAGGGTTAGATAGATGACGAGATGAAGAGCACGGATGGGAGGGAATGATTCGACGGAGAAGATGGGAGTGATGACGGATGGATCTTAGAGGGATGAACGAACAACAGTTGCAGATGAGAAAGAGAGAGAGAGAGAGAGAGAGAGAGAGAGAGATCGTCGAGCTAGAGACATGACGAGATAAACCACACGGATTAGGAGGGGGCGAGAGAGAGAGAGAGAGATCGCAGGGGGGGAGAGATGACGAGATGAAGCCCACGGATGAGAGGAAGTAACTGATTCTAGAGAGAAGGTGGGATGAATGAGGGATCGATCTTAGTGAGATGAAGGAACAAGAGTCGCAAATTAGAGAGAGATCGACAGGTCGAGAGAGAGAGAAAGAGAAAGGAGAGGATACCACGAGGGTAAAGCCGGTGACGGTGGCCCAGGAGTTGGCGAGGGTGGATCCAGCGAGCTCGAGATTGCCCAGGTGGCCGGCGAACATTACGGAGACGAGCGGGATGCAGTAATACGCCACGTTCGTCAAAATCATCGGCACCGAGAACACCACCTGATGCTTCGCCTCCGCCGCCTCGCTCCTCCCCCATCTCTCCCACACCCCTCCTCCCTCCTTCCCCTCCAGCAGCGGAGTCGTCGAAACCATCTCTCCCCCTACTCTCTCTCTCTCTAACTCTTCCCCCCTTCTCTCTCTCTCTACATCGGCTATCGATTGAGAAGACCGGGAACAAGCGATCGTATATATAGAATGGGTCGCGGTGGTGGTGACGTGGCAAGAGGAGAGACCTTGTTGGGGACGCCGCTGGTGCGGCGGAGGGAATGCGCAGGCAATTTGGACGTATGGTCATAAATTGGCGCGTGGAAAAGCAATGGAATGGACGTCAACACGACACCTGTGAGAGGACCACGAGGACCACGAGGACCAATCCTAGCGGCTGCGCGAATACGCACGTGTATCGCTACGCGAATGCTCGAGACGGAAAGCTCTTTCCCTCTCCTCCCTTCCTCTCTAGACTCCGGGGAGAGATGTAACCTAGAGAGAGAGAGATGAAAGCATAAAGAAGAAGAAGACGAAGAAGAAGAAGAAGACGAAGAAGACGAAGAAGACGAGAGAAGAGTGTTCGTGTGTGAGGAGAGGGAACGGTAGAGAGAGAGAGAGAGAGAGAGAGAGACGAAGGCATTCCCCAAGTGGAGGGGAACAACAGATAAACCATTGAGGCAGCGCTTGCCACCAGCGTTGACCTCTGACACAACCCTCTCTCTCTCTCTCTCTCTCTCTCTGCAAAGTATGCCAAAAACTCATTATTATCTTAATATTAGGGAAATTAAACGATTTTAATCATATAAATATATTATCCCTGGGAAAAATCCTGGAAAAGATTAAATGTTTATCGATTTTATGGTATTATTAAGAAATAAATAGTTTTAAAATACTCAAATATCCATTTTTTTCAAGAATCCATCATTTCCAACGTAAATATTAAAAATATGCTCAAGTACTTATCAGTATGTAATAATAAATAAATATATTATGTTATATTATATATTATGTCACCGTCTTCTCTCCCCAGCGCAGGCAGCGGAGAATCGGGTGGTAGAGCTACCCTGATTTTTATATAGTTTTTAGCTTTACGTCCTCACAGCATTTAAAACCGGCACGTGGGACAAGTTCAGGCCGATGCACGTGGCTGATCAGAGGTTGGCGCATCCGGCTGCAGCGCGGCTCACGCGTTGACCAGCTGCCCATGCAACGCTATAAGAGAGATTCGAAACGTGATGCATACCTGTAGGCACATGTGAGTTGTCGGGCGAGAGCCAGGAGAAGAGATACTATCTAGAGAGGGTGAAATTTCTACGAATGGGGAGATACATATTAGATAATATAGAGAGAGACGGTGAGATTTCTACAAATGGTAATAGACATTAAATATAATATTTATAGAGAGGGAAGGACGAGATTTCCTATTCAATCTTCCATGAAAATGCGTAGATAGTTACTAAGAGAGAGAGAAAGAGGTACATTAGAGATATATACTTAAACATTTGAACTTCGAATGAGTTTTCAAGTTGACAAAAAAAAAAACAAAATAACAAAAGACATTAGCATATAATATATTAGGGTCAATATTTAAGTATATAAGATTTTTTATTGTTAAAAATTCATAGTAGAAAAGTAGCAATCTTTTAGTAAATAAATTTAAATTTATATGATATGAACAACAAAACTGATTCATAAGAAATATATTAATGAGTAATATTTGAGTTTAGCATATTATATTGCACCATAGCCTTTTGTCTAAATCAAAATCTTTTTGTATATGAGGAGCTTACATTGCAAAACAAATACATTAGTATATGGGAACACCAAACTATATCAGGCATAATATTTTATCATATCAAACTTAATACATCACGGAATATTTAGTATATTAAGCTTAATATGATGATACATGAAGAGCTGAATTGTAGAAGAAGGGATCATACCAAGCTTAATGTGGTGATATAAGAGGAGTTGTAATAGAGAATAGGGGACCATATCAAGCTTAATACAAGAATATAATGGGGACTATGTTACCAAACAAGGGACCATATCAATCTTAATCTGTCAATACAGGAGTTGTGTTGAAGAACAGAGGACCACATCAAGCTTAATATGAGAATACAAGGCAGTTGTGATATAGAACAAAGGACCATATTAAGGTTAATATACCAAGAAAGGAGAAATTATGTTGTAGAGTTATGTTTCAACACAACAATAAATATGATGTTTATGTATAATGAGTAATATTCTGCAGTAGTAGAGCAGATCAAGTTTAATATCTCATTATTTGGAAATCATATCATAAAATTCAGGGAGTAATATATAAATAGCAATGTATATTTAACATAATATTTGGTCCATAACGATTATTATGAAGCACAATCTCTTATTATTTTAAATTGCCTTTATGATATAAGTTATTATGTGAAGTCAACTACTTCAGTACATTAAGCATTTTTGAAGATACAATAGGCATTTTAACATTTCGATTTATGGTCTTGAATCATGCAGTAGTTTGGGATCAATCCCATACACATTAAAAAAAGAGTATAAAGCAATGTCAAAGCTAAAAAGAAAAACTAGATTAAGTAAGGGAATAAAAACTATCTATTTGATGTATGTTGGTTACCTCTAGCAACAAAAATGTGGCCTTGCTGATTGCTTAATAATAAGTGAGGTAGAGTAAGCTTTAAACAAGTAAGAGAAAATTTAAAAATCAAAAATATAAGAGAAGAAAGGCTAGCAAGTAAGTGAAAGAGTAAATAAATAAAATATCTTTTTGGTATATGACCACACTTAGACCAAGATGGGAGGGGATTGAATAGGTCAGATAAGATTGATTTATTCTTCTCATCTTTTAGTTGCTTGATGTTTTCTAATTCTTCAACGGACTAATTATAGATGATGGGAAACTTTATAGCAGTTTTCTATCATTGACATACTTCACTATCTAAGAACACTTTGTCCTTTAGTAGTTTCACTGACCACTTAGTCTTTGACCACTAATTAATGGGCTCACCTCTAAAATATGTTTAGCAGAAACTCTTTCTAGATTTATGATTCTTTGATGCTCAATGGATAAAAAAAAATCAACTCCTTTAAATGATAATACTGAAAAGAATGTTCATTGATGAGTTCAGAAATTTGATTGATTGTTCTTGATTTCTTGGTTCTCTTCTCATGTTAGATCACATTAAATGATGATGATGATGACTTCTCACTGATCTCCAAGTTGAATAAAACACTTTCCAGTCCCAACTTCTCTTATTTGTAGTCGCAACTTCAGCTTTAAATTTTAGTCAAACTTGTTCTCATTGAATCCTAAAAAATATAACTAGGAAGGTGTAGGAAAATAGGGACTCAAGCCGATTTAAAATGGGTGATAAAAGCTGATTTATAGATGTAATTTTGACCTAGTCTTTCTTTGTTTTCTGTCTACTTAACATTAACTTTCTAATCTTGGAAAATTTACTGGAAATATCCAATACAATACCCCATTTAAGCCTTTTGTATGCTTTTTATGTTTAAACAGATAAAAAAACCTTTGAGTTGTGACTTCTATATCCAATGATAATGGATATATTAACCCCAAAACTAGGTCTAATAGACATAAAGATAATTCAAGAATGTTCATTGAAATAAACTAATTGCTGATGTTCTTAATTTCTATCATCATAAATAAAACTTTATTAATAATAAGTAGTCCAATATTGATGGTTCTTTATTTTTGTCAGTTATATATTTCAAATGTTTAGTCATTATGTTGAATATCTTTATTAAATGATTATCCCATTATTACTAAGGGTCAAATGTAAGACTTCATTCCTTCAGATTAAGTGATTTTCTATCCATGGATTAGTCAAAGACAAAAGGTTATCATCTGAAGAAACATCTAGAAATGAAAGGTTAAATATATGGTTATATAGTATCAGTGAATATAATCCATGCAAAATATTTCACCTTTGATTAGACTAAATATATTATGCAATGTTTTTCATTTTGAAATAATGTTAGGTAGGTTCCCTAAAAGATCAAGTTCATTAAATAAAAAAGAAAATAAGAAAATAAGAAAATCATTAGATATTATAATTTTAAAAATAATATCTCAATGGTGACATGTTAGTTGCTTACATGGACAAAAAGGAAAGAAAAACTTGATGATTTAGATTTGATGTAGACATTCAAATATTCTTCTAATTGAAAGGATTAAGATTAGATGGATATTTGATAGAGAAGAATTTGACATATGGATGTTAGAACAATTAAGGGGCTGTTAAAATTTGACATATATAAGATTACCAAAAAGGTTTTACATAAAAAATTCTATGTATGAGAGTTCCATTAGTGGAAAATAAAAAAATACATTTCCTCAGTTGAACTCACTTGATCTACTTATATTTCTTTTGTCAAAGTAAAATTGTTAGCTTACAAGGAAATATTATGTCCTAGTTATTATTGATGATTACTCTAGATACACTTGTACATTTTTTTTAATTCATAAGAATGAGTCATTAGACTACTTTACAAAATTTGAAAGAAAATTCAATAGGAACTTGGTAAAATAATGAAAAATATTAAGAATGATTATAGAATCAAATTCAAAAATGTTGAATTCTATAAATTCTATGATGCATTAATTTTTTTCATAACTTATCAACTCCAAAACTCCTCAAAAAACTAGGGTTGTTGAAGAAAAAAATAAGGTATTAATAGACATCTCAAGAACGATGCTAGCTGAAAGTAATATTTTTAAGTATTTTTTCAAGTGATGTAATCATCATATCACATTGTGATCAATAGAGCTTTGATCTGATTTAGGTTAAAGAAAACATCTTATGAATTAATTAATAATAGGAATAAAAAATTAGATTCTTTCAAATCATTATGAGGTATGTACTTTATTATAAATAATGGGAGAGAAGAAAGAGAAAAGTATGTGCAAATGATTGGCAAAGGAATCTTCCTTGACTATTCTGAAAAGTTAAAAGTATATAGAACCTATAATAAAAGAACTTTAGTTGTTGAAGAATCTATTCATATGAAATTTATAGAATAACCTACATCCTAAATTATCAATTCAAATGCAATTGAAATAATGAATCACT